TGGATTCCTCTCTCCCTTCAAAATAAATTTAATTGGACTTTCATTGACCAAAATAATAATAATTATTATAATTGGTTTATTTCCTTGACCAAAAAAACAAATAAGTTTCTTTGTGTTGGTTGACTTGTACTTAATTACAAATTTAAAATAACAATGAAGTTAAAATATAACATGTGTTTAAGAAAATTAAAATTAGTTATTGAATTTAGAGTCGGTATAATATTTTAACTAGACTAGACTGTAACTCCACATGAGTACATTATTAGTCGCCTTTCTCACTATCTAGAATGTTATACATAATTCCTAGCCTAAATTTGACAGTGTGATTATAAATTTCTCTTTAATTATAAATGCATAATAAGAATTTGAGTACGTATTCAACTGGAAAATTGAAGGGCATGTCAGTTTTTTTTTTCTTTTAACCCTAAACCCTTTTATGGGTTTAAATTTCTCAAACATTTCTAATAGGGGAGGGGGCTAATGTTGTCATTTTCGTTGAGGGTAGGCATATGGGTCATTTTCTATCTTAGTCAAAGCAAATTATAACCAGCGTGGGAACTAAAATCAGGCTAAAATACAACGACTTGTATATAATGCATGTGTTACGAGGCAAAGTAACAGCTATGCAAAAACCTACTCTATTGAAGAAGGAATATGTCAGATATGAATGGTATTAATCCATTGACTATTGGTCAGTGGTCATTTACCTAATCTCATATTATATAAATTAAGCTTCCCTATCATCACAGCTAATTAGACTTTGATCTAATTAAGTACTCAAATTGAAGTGACCAATGTCGCTATTAAAATTATTTTAACAAATTGACATTGTATACATGATTCCAGCTAATTTGAGACTTTTATATAATAAAATACTCAAATTGAAGTGACCATCTGACATGGGCTTAGCAAGTTAAGTTGGCTAGAGCAGATGTGCTCCCCACTCTGCACCCGAGTTTGAATCACCCTCTCCGTAGTTTAGAGTATATTTTCCATGTACCTTGATGGAGTACAAAAAATTTATAATTAAAAAAGAAAAATTCAATTTCCAACGTCCAATTTGTGAAGATCTGTTTTTCTAATATTATAAATTAGTTATTTCTTCCTTACAAAAGCTGGCCCATTGTTTAAGCTAGCCCAGATTTTCTTAAAAAGCAAAAAAAAAAAAAAAAAAAAAAACAAAAAACCATCACCTTCTTCTTCCGGCTACAACAAACGAGAGTTTTCATCTTTTAAAAAAGGCCCCTGTGTTCTTCTTTTCCTTGGTCTATTTTTACCGGCAATATTGCTGAGTGATCTCACAAACATAGTTAAATGCGTATCTAAACAATCAAAGAAATCAGATTGTTCTTCTGTCTCCCTCCATAAATAGGAGTGTAGGCATCAAAATTTCGGTAGTCAATGATTTAAAGTTTGACAATTTTACCAGTCAAAGCTGACTCAACCGAATTGTGAATCCACAAGAAATACACGTGTCACATGACTCACCAAGACAAAGATGGGAGATGACACATGTCAGCATATGGGAAGCATCATCGCTCAAATCAAATCTTATGTAAAAAAAGGAAGAAATCTTCCTTAATTGGTTGCTTTCCTAAATCAAAGGTTAATTTCCTTATATTATAAGGATTTTGACTTAGCAGGCTTGGCAGGCCAAGACGGGCTGGCTTTTTTTTTTTTTTTTTTTTCTATTTTTTTTTTTTAAATCTTTTTGTTACAAATCTTTTGACAAATTGAAAAAATTAATAAAAAAAAAAAAAAAATTAACATATGTAAAACAAAGTAAAAAAGTTAATTAATTCATAGTACATATTACATTATTTTAATTAAGTCCACATAAATATTACATATTTCATTCCAATTACATTGTTACAAATACATAATAAATAAAGTGGTTTTCTATTAATTTCATTTATATATCATTGTTACATTGATATTTCATTTCTGCATTATTGGACCAATTTTATTGTTCTATTTATTATTTATTTTATTTATGGGTGGGCCTAATTTTTCTTGCTCTATATTTATAAATATAGTCCTAATTTAGGTTCTTTTGCTATACTCAATTTGTGTAGAGGCTTAGCATCATGTGAGGTGTATGTAAATACAAAGGAAAAAGTGTCATTTGTGGTAGATACCATTTTCCATGAATATCAGATAGCTAGGAAAAGGTTCTATGAGATCTTCCATAGAGAGAGATTTCACACACACACACACACACACACACACAATTATGATGTCATGAGGATTCGAACCTGAGACATTTGGTCTGCAAGTTAAGGCCCCTTTCCACTGGGCTAGATCCCGTTGGTTTTTGTTTTGAATGTTCTCTAACTACTTTAATGAAATATTTTATTTATTTTACGTCTACACATGGATTGAAAGAGAAAGAGGAAGATTGTGACAACTCTAGTTGCAATAGAATTAGAGAAAGAGGAGCAAGAAATCTATAACGATCCCCTCAATGAGAACAGTGTAAATCATGGCAATATTGATACCTTTGCCGCATCCGATCAATGGTCTGCATAGAGGAATAATTTGGCTATTAAGATGTTTAATGACTGGATGTCAAATAGAGCAACATGTTAAGAATATTTATTATTCTATTTATTATGTTTATGTTTATCTGGTTAAGTTGCGGAAGTCCTATTCTTTAGGGACTTGGTTGTTTAGTTTCTAGTTAATATGGGATTCCAAGATGTCATGGAGTCATGGTTAGTGAATGTCATGGTTTAGTCGTGCAGTAGTTGTTCCTATTATTTAGCTTAGTTGCTTTGTTAGTTTGCTCTTTAAGTTGTATTCAATATTCAAGTTTAATGTGAAGAGAAGTTTGAATTCCACAAATACGTTCTTGGTTCTTCACCTGTTTCTTTATTTTTCAACATCTGGTATTAGAACCCCCACTGGGCCTGACGTATAAATTTCCAAATAGTAGCATCAGCGTTTCTTTCCAACAAGTGTCAAGGATGTCTGATAGAGCACCTGAGAATTTCGTGCAGCTAGCAATCCCTCATTTTGATGCTCATTACGATCATTGGAGCATGCTCATGGAGAATTTTCTGAGATCCAAGAAATATTGGGATCTTGTGGGAACATGCATTAGGAGACCATTCTCAAAAGAAGATAGATGACCTAAAGTTGAAGGACCTGAAGGTGAAAAATTACTTGTTTCAAACCATTGATCGAGCAATTTTGGAGACCATTCTCAGATACTTCAAAGTAAATTTGGGACTCAATGAAGAGGAAGTTCCAAGGCTCAGCTAGAGTGAAGCGTGCATAGCTTCAAGCTTTGATGAGGGATTTTGAGACCCTTCAAATGAAAAATGGAGAGTCTGTGACATATTATTTTGCAAGAACCATGGGGATTGCAAATAAGATGCAAATCCATGGTGAAGTGATAGAAGATGTAGTCATTGTTGAGAAGATCCTACGTTCTCTGGCACCCAAATTTGATTATATTGTTTGCTCAATCAAAGAATCACATGACTACAGAGCTCCTTGCTGATCCATGAACATAAATTCAACAGAAGTACGACTGGTCTGTCCAATTGAAAACTAATCTGTTGAGTGTTGGCCAATTACAAGAGAAATCATATTTTAATACTATCAAGAATGGTGTCTGTCCAATTTATGATCCCGCAAGAGGTAGGTTGAGATGACAACTAACAAGTTGTTTCAGTAACAAATCAAGAATATCCATTCTAGTTTGGTGGCCAAGGTGACTGATCTAACATGGCTTTGGCACTTTCGTTGTGGCCATTTAAATTTCAATGGGCTCAAGACACTTTATCATAAGCAGATGGTGACTGGTCTACCTACGGTCACTCCTCCCTCCAAAGTATGTGAAGAGTGTGTTGTTGGCAAACAACACTGTGATCAATTTCCCAAAGGCAAGGCATGGAGAGCTTAGAAGCTGCTAGAGCTTATACACTCTAGTTTATGTGGTCCCATTAACCCAACATATAATGGGAAAAATAAATACTTTATTTCTTTTATTGATGATTTTAGTCAGAAAAGTTGGTTATATTTTTTGTAGGTAAAATCTGAGGCTTTTAAAGCATTTAAAACTTTCAAGGCTCATGTTGAAATTGAAGTTGGGAGAGCCATTAAGACACTCTGTACTGATCGTGGAGGAGAGTTATGTTCAAAAGAGTTTGAAGTTTTTTTTTTACGAGCAAGGCATCCGAAGGCAACTGACAATGGCCTATACACCCCAACAAAATGGGGCGTCAGAGATAAAAAAAACAAAACCATTCTCAATATGGTGAGAAGCATGCTGGCAAAAGGGAGAGTTCCGAAATTTTTTTGGCATGAAGTAGTGAACTGGAGTGTTCATGTATTGAACAGAAGTCCCACTTTTTATGTTAAAAGCATGATACTAAAAGAAGATTGGAATGGACGAATATCGTCTGTAGATCACTTCAAATTTTTTTGGTTGTATTGCATATGCACATGTACCTGATGACAAGAGGAAGAAATTGGATGACAAGGATGAAAAATGTGTTTTTCTTTGCGTAAATGACCATTCCAAATCCTATAGGTTATTCAATCAAATCACCAAGAAGATTGTCATCAATCGAGATGTAATTTTTGATAAGGAAAACAAGTGGAACTGGATTGAAAGTTTCTCACAACAACAACTTATTCCTGTAATTTTTTATGAAGAAGAAGAAAAGGAGGTTAACCTGCCATATGTACATCATGACCAATCAAACATGCAACTGCAACAACTAGCCTAATAGCAGCAACTGTGAATTAATTCCAGCGAAAATCATCAAGGCGAGGCTTCTAGCCTGTGGTCCCAACGCTTGAGGAAGAGGCCAACATGGATAATAGATTATGAGGTCAGTGGTGTTGTTCAATCTGATGATGATGATGACAATTGCACATTTTTCTTTGTTCTCATATTGTGATCCAATAAGTTTTCAAGAAGCTGTGAAGGAACCAAAGTGGCAAAAAGCCATAGAGGCAGAAATCAGGGCCATTTAGACAAATGACACATGGGTTCTGACAAACATCCAAATGCGCAGAAAAAGATTGAAGTGAAATGGGTTTTTAAAACCAAGCTAAATGAGAAGGGTGAGATTGACAAGCACAAGGCTCGTTTGGTGGCAAAGGGCTACAAGCATGAGTTTGGTGTTGACTACAAGGAGGTGTTTGCGCTAGTTGCAAGGATGGATACAATTCGGCTTGTTCTTTCCATGGCTACCCAAAACTCGTGGCCAATTTTTCAATTGGATGTAAAGTCAGCATTTTTGCATAGGGAGTTGGAAGAAGAGGTGTATGTTGAGCAACCTCCTGGATACATGCAACATGGGAAGGAGAAAAAGGTATTTAGATTGCACAAATCACTCTATGGGCTACAACCGCATAGATGCTTACTTTGCTAACCAAGGCTTTCACAAGTGTCCATATGAACATACTCCCTGTATTAAAGTTGGAAAAAGTGGAAAGATTTGTATTGTATGTTTATATGTTGATGATTTGATCTACACAGAGAGTGATAAGGCTATGTTTGATGAGTTTAAAAATTCCATGATGACTGAGTTTGACAAGTTAAACCTTGGGTTAATGCATTAATTTTTGGGCATTGAAGTGAATCCCCTGCCGGAATTTTTATCTCACAAAAGAAGTATGTTAAAGAAGTTTTGGACAGGTTTCATATGAAGGTGAACTCATCATATGAAGTATGTCTTAAGGATGATGTTATTGATATTATTTATTATAAAAGTGAGGACCAAATTGCTGATATTTTTACCAAGCCTCTCAAGTTGTCTATGTACGTGAAAATGAGAAATATGCTGGGAGTTAGTTCTTTGAAGGATGTTGCTCGTTGCCCCTGAAGGTTGAAGAATTGAAGTTTTACCTTTAAACTGATTGTCTGCAGAACACTCAGTTTAAGGGAGGTTGTTAAGAATATTTATTATTCTATTTATTATGTTTATGTTTATCTGGTTAAGTTGTGGAAGTCCTATTCTTTAGGGACTTGGTTGTCTAGTTGCTAGTTAATAAGAGAGTCCAAGATGTCATAAAGTCATGGTTAGTGATTGAATGTCATCGTTTAGTTGTGCATTAGTTATTTCTATTATTTAGCTTAGTTGCTTTGTTAGTTTGCTATTTAAGTTGTATTCAGTATTCAAGTTTAATGTGAAGAGAAGTTTGAATTCCACAAATACATTTTTGGTTCTTCACCTATGTCCTTATTTTTCAACATCTTACCAAATTCCACAAATACGTTATTGGTTCTTCACCTGTTTCCTTAATTTTCAACATCAACATAAGTATTTGGTGATCATTTGAATTATGTGTTTATTATTAATTTTGTGAAGTTTTGGACTATTTTTTATGGATATATCTTATTTTTAATTTTGTGTGGATGTTTTTTTTTAAAATTAGTTATTTATGATATTTAAAAAAATCTAATAAACATTAAAATTAATTTTAATATAAAATAATTTTGAAGTCCGATGCATTCTAGCCCCCCACTTGTATCAAACAACGAATTGGACTTAAGTCTAGTGCAGTCTGCTCAACTTAAATGTGCAAACGACTTATTAAAGTCCAGCACAACCTAAGCTAGCCCAGTCCAACACTCCAAATCTTATCCTAACCAGTCCACTTCGGCCACCAAATGGGGCATAATATCAAAAATTAAATTAATTAAGAGGTAGTTGATCGCATACTCATTCATTCTCTCTATTAAAAGTCATACTCTAACCCAAACTATTTTTATCTTTTCTTCCCATCCTTATCTCTTTACATTCCTATCAAAACTATATTTTAAGCCGATATCATTCAACATAAACTTATCATTTTTGGTGACCAGGATTGGATTGGATTAAGATGAAGGATTAGATTGCAATAGATTACATTGGATTGAAAACGATAAGCATATTTCATTAGCACTAGTGCCCCAGGTTTGTGTTGCAACTCTCGGTATTGAGTCCAAAGTCAAGGGGTTGGAGGAGTGGATTATGTATCCCACTTTCTTAGTATGATAAGTCATCTTACAAAAATGCACATAACGAGATTACAGTGGGATTACCTTTTATCCTATCCGCATCCATTCTTTTAGCACCAAACTTAGTATTGAATTAAGCTAATCCAATCCTTCTACTTATCTTACCTACCAAACAAAGCCTATGTGAGTGGACTATGAGCTAAAGTTTTATCCTGCTTAATTATTTCTAAAGCAATACTTTTGGGATAAACATGGTCAAAAGTGATCAAAACCAATGAGAAAGAATATGGTTCGCATGCAATTCGTTTGACTGTCTTATTTTCCTCATACTATTTGTTTTATCGTTGAAAGCCAATTTATACTTTTATCTTTGGTATGTTAAAATCAAGATAGCCACTGCTTTTTGCACAAAGAGGCGTAGAGCATAATAAATCCAATGTGCATACACACAATACAAAAGTGTACAGAAAACTAAAATTCAGAAGAAAATAAAAATAAAAATAAAAATAAAAATAAAAGGCAGTGTCGTAATCAAATAAAATTATGTTTGTAAACTACTTTACTACTTGGCTTCATTATCAGGAGACTCCAAGATTGGGACCCACAAAATGGAATGCTGGATGTTGTAGTTTGGATTTTTTTATTATTATTATTATTATTCATTAATTTTTATAAAAAATTAGAATAAACAATTATTAAGTTATTTAATTGTTTAATTAAAATATAAAGCGGAAGGGGAAGAAGTTGGACCGAATCTGAGGTGTCTAATGGTGTGGGCCCCCACGTACTCAAGCCCAGGATTTGACTGAAAACGGGGCTGCCCAGGGTCACGTCCCTTTCCACGTTGTAGCGCCAAGGAGTTTTGACTGCGTCCGGGCAGCGGTCAGCACCGTTCGGGCACCCCTCTCTCTCCTTTTTGCACTCTCACTCCACTCTCTCACTCTTCTCTCTCTGTGCGCGCACGCCTCACTCGAAAAAAGCGAAAATTAAAAAAATTAAAAACAAATTAGAAACTGCAAGAGATATAACTATTAAGAATCCCACGCAAATGCTCAGACACAGAGAGAGAAAGTGAGGGAGAGCAAAAGGGTAAGTTTGGCGAAAAGGGGAGCAGAGAAAGAGAATAAAATGGTTGAAAATTTGTAGGTGTTTTTTTTAAATGTGTTCTTTTAGCTGGTGAGATCAGGCTTTCTTATTTATAAAAAAAAACAATTTTTGATTTTGGTTTTGGTTGAGTGGGTGAAATTTTGGATTTTGGGAAGTGGGTAATGGTGGGTTTGTTAGGGTGAGATTTCTGAGCTGGGATTTTGGTAATCTGAGTTGGGTTTTGGGGGGTGGTTGTGGGTTTTCTGTGATGGTGTGTTTGGGTGTAAGATACCATTTGGATCTGAGACTTGAAAAAAGCAAGTGAGATGGAGAGCAAGGTAGGGAATTCACTTTGTCTCTGGTTGATCTTAGTGGCTCATCCACTATGGATGACAATGGTGCTTGCTAATATGGAAGGTATGTAGTTGTTTGCTTTCTTGAGCTAGCTCACTTCGGTTGATTTTTGTTTCTTCATTCTCTTTTCCTTTTCCCTTCGCTTTCTTTTTTGTCTTTTTTGAAAATTATATTTTTGTTTACTGGTTTCATGAATTTCTGGAAATGGGTTTCTGTTAACTTTTGTTGTAAAGATTTATGGGTTAATGGAATTTGGTATCCTCATTTAAACCTACTTACCTTGTACTGAGTATTGAAAGACATTTATGAATCTTGAATATTGGAGGTTTTTATGCTTTTGATTTGTTTACAAAGCTATTAAATTTAATGAAATGGAAGCTGAACTTTGGTGTGACAAAGCCGTGATGAATTGTACAATTTTATGGCTTCTATTGGTGTTTTGGTTGCTATAACTCAACCGGTACTTAATATTAAGTGCCATTATTTGGTTCTCTGAATATGACTTTATGAGGTGTGTTGGTTGGATAGACCTCTATTTATTTGTCAAAAGTTATGAGTCAATAAGACTTTGATTGTAATAGTTTCTTTCTATTGGCCTTCTTATTTTAAAATCATCTCTACTATGGTCATGTTGAACCCACATAACTTTATGATTGAAAACCTGACATCCACCATTTGTTTTTGCTTGTGAACAATTGTGGAAGCACGAGATTAATGGGCTTTATTTTATTTTCTTTGTAAATCAAGTCTGCCAAATTCCACAAACGCAAAAGCACAATGGTTTTTAAGCATCATATGTGCTGATTTAAGTTCTTATGCAATCTGGCCTTCCTGCATAATGGTTTTGTATCTGTTTCTGGAAATTCTAGAGAAGCGTGCTTTGCAAACTTCAAACATCGTTGTCTGATATGCTATGTCAAGTGTGTTAATCGTTTATATAGCAAGCAACTAATTGCTTTACCTTTTTTCAATTTTTTTTTCAAACAGGTGATGCTTTGCATAGTCTAAGGACCAACTTGGAGGACCCTAACAATGTCCTGCAAAGTTGGGATCCTACCCTTGTCAACCCTTGTACATGGTTTCATGTCACATGCAACAATGAAAATAGTGTCATAAGAGTGTATGTTGTCTCTCTGACATCTACAAAGAATATGCTCTTGTGTTACTCCTCTCGGGAAGAATTCAATTGACAATGCTTTGTTTTGTGTTTAATTCCAGTGATCTCGGAAATGCACTCTTGTCGGGTCAACTTGTTCCACAGCTCGGCCTTCTTAAGAATTTACAATATTTGTAAGTTACTTTGTGCTTCAATTCTGTGCTGTTGGCTATCATTCTTTTCTAAGTGTTGTTAGTCCTAATGGAGTTACTCTGGTTGCTTTTTTTTTTCATGCATAGTCATTTGATTGTTATGCATATGAAAGAAATATATTTAGCAGCTTAGTACCAAGGCATTGCCTAGGCTATGGCTCAAGTGAGTAATATCAGGTTGGTGTGGGATACTTAACTGAAACACAAATACTATGAACATTAAAGTTGTGGTTTTCAGGTATGTTAGAAAACAACATTTGAGGTAGGATAGTATGAGGAACATGATGGCAGATACATTAAATTCCTGGAAGAAACAATTAGTTCGTATAATGTAACTAAAGCACTTAGATAGGTTTAAAGAACTTAGTCTACACTGTGTATCTATTTTGCCGGTTTTGTTGGAAATTAGAAATACTGGTATCTAGTTGAAGGAAAGGACTTAAGGTTATGAAATACAAGAAGTATTAGTGGCAGGTAGCAGACCCTTTTGTCTATGAGGTAGGTGGTGGGTTGGGGCCTACTTTAGGGTTTAGGGTTTAGATTGCATGAATAGATAAAATATATATAACCTTCTTTAATCAAGTTGGAATCAGTATAGATCAACCCTAAACGTAATCTACTTATTAATTGGAATTTTGTTGAGAGACTACTTTTTGTAGCAATCTTCTGTAAGAAGGTTCTCTGTTTATGGTGTTGTATGTCAAGCTTTGGAAGTTATATGCAGCCACAGGTCTGGTAGAACACCATTTGTGACAATGAGATGTGGCTCATTGTAGAGATTTTTCCTTTGAATTAGTCCAGTTTTTTTCAGTTCACAATTTTTAAGTGTATCTATGTATTTGTGGGAATGTTCTCAAAATGTCATCTGACTTTCGTTCAGTGTTCCTGAAATATGTTAACTGGCTTTTTTGGTTGCTTCTGGTCCAGAACCCAAATAGTCTATCAGAAGCTGAATGAAAAATATTGTTAAATTGTTACAATGGAAAAGTTTTGCACACTTTTATTTATGCCCAACAGTGGCATTCATTTTTGAACCATATGTTTCATCTGGCATGTTCATCTTTTGGCCATTTGCTGAGATATTCATTTGGAAAAACATAATGTAATGACACCTTTTGCACGCCCAAATCCCGAATAAAGTGTTTGGTGCATATCAAATTATCAGGAATTCACTTATGAATATCATCTACACTGTTATCTTTACTTAGACATACTGCTTTCAGGTCATAAACTAGATTTTCCCAAAAAGTGTGGTAACTTAAAGTTTTGATGTTAAATATGTCCATGCTGATTTGTATTCTTAAAATGAGATCTACCAGTGTCTTATGATTTTCCCCGAGTCATCTGATATTATTGCAAACTTTTCCAGAGCTATCTATTAAATTTTTTTCCCCCTTAAATGACAGGGAACTCTACAGTAATAACATAAGTGGACCAATTCCTAGTGAACTGGGGAACCTAACCAGCTTGGTGAGCTTGGATCTTTATTTGAATAGTTTTGCGGGTCAAATCCCAGACACCTTGGGCAAGCTGTCAAAACTGCGATTCCTGTGGGTATACTTGTCTTTTACCTTGTTTCTTTAATGTCCACATTCTTGACACGCATGCCCCGTGATATTTGGCTAGTTTTCTAGAACATGAGGGCCAAACAAAGAGAGCATATATTCATGAACTACTGAGACTAAGAGGAAAGAAAACAAGATTGAAAGAAGTATTTATTTGCATAAAAAAACACAAATTTATTTTATAACCTTACCATATTTTTTGATTTTGGGAAATGGAAGAAAGGAAAAGACTATATGTCATAGTACTTTGACTATCAAGTATGTAACAAACATATAAGAAATTTGCTGCTTCATGTTTAAGATTGTAAAGGATTTGAAAAGCTACATATTATATTCATAAAGTAAAAGTTCCATTCACTTCATTGGTAGATATTTGAAAAGAAACTCTGCAATTGTAGAAGTCTGTACATATATTTGATATAAAAGTAAAATCAATAAAATATAGGCTGCCCTCCTTGAACTTCCAAAACCACAGCAATATTGATGACCCAAAGGAGACTAAGTTCAGTATTTTTGTGTTGTCAACATGACACATATAAAATCAAGTGGCTTTATAATATCATTGTAATTATATTACACACGTGTCAAACATTTCATTCCAAAGAAAAAATATGTATAAAATATTTTGCTCGTGCTTTTCTAACAGACTAGCATAAATAGTCTATAATATTGTTGTTTTCTAATAATTCAAATGAGTAATGTTATTTGATTGATTGTCGATGTTAACATCTATTTTCTTGAAAACTTTTCTGTAAGGATAGCCGACTTAACAACAACAGCTTGGTGGGTCCGATCCCTATGTCATTGACTAATATCTCCTCACTTCAAGTACTGTGAGTGCAAATTTTTGATTTCAATATCTCTCTCTCTCTCTCTCTCTCTCTCTCACGCTCATGTCTCATGTGTAGTATTTGTTCATTGCAAGAATTATATGCTCTGACGTTGTATTTCTAAATGTAGGGATCTGTCAAATAATCAGCTCTCTGGAGAAGTTCCGGACAATGGCTCCTTCTCTTTATTCACTCCCATAAGGTTTCTTGTTAATGTCGAAATTCTCTTGCATTATCTGACTCTGATGTTGATGATATGCTGAAGTGTTCTCTGTCATTTGCAGTTTTGCTAACAACTTGAATCTATGTGGCCCAGTAACTGGTCGCCCCTGCCCAGGATCTCCTCCATTTTCGCCTCCCCCACCTTTTGTCCCACCACCCCCAATTTCAACACCAGGTGATTGATCTTCTTATTTCTATTAAACCTCCAGGGTTTTAGGTGATGGTTATATCTAGCACATCTTCCTCCATGGTCCTGGACTCCTATGGTTTCACATCTTGGTTATGATACTTAAGTTCATTGCTTCTCTATTGTCTTTGGGAAGTGTTATTTATGTAGTAGTTGTACTTTTATTGATTACTCAGCCAATACGGACAGTCTTTTCTTTTACTTTTGCTGTACCTTTTCTTTTTCTCTCGATATTTTTCCCTGGTTATTACTCAATAGTGAACTACAGTGAGCTTTATTGCATCCTCTATCTGCAAAGGTAAATAAATGTTAAATTTGGTAGGCAGGTTTCTTCATTTTAGTTTGTAGTTTCACTCTTCTAGAGTATGATGAACTGCATTATCCTTATGAAACTTAAATTTGATGAAGTGTTGGCAAGGTTTTTTTGGTGCACTTCCAAGTTTTTGATGGGCATGGTGTTTGGGAGATGTGCTGTCATGGCAATCTTTTGGGTGGTATGGATGGAGAGGAATGGAAGAATTTTTTTGGGAGAAAGGGATGAGCTGGTGGATCTTCTATGTGATAGAGTTCGTTTTTGGGGTTCTCTTTGGGCGTCAGTATCTTCAGAATTTAGGATAGTTCTTTTCAACCTTTATTGTATTTTTGGAATTCTGCTGTATACTAGTTTTTTTAAGGTCTGCTGCCATGTATCTTTATTGCCTAGCTTTGTTTTGCAGTCTTTGTAGTTGTATTTAGCTATAATGAAATTATGTTTCTTATCAGAAAAAGAAAAAGAAAGTTGGAAGTGTTGGCAAGTATACTTTTCATTGGCTTTAAAACTTTGAGTATGTGGTATCTAATCTTTATTTTCTTCACAATACAGGAGGGAATAGTGCCACTGGGGCTATCGCTGGTGGAGTTGCTGCTGGTGCTGCTTTACTATTTGCTGCCCCTGCAATTGCATTTGCATGGTGGCGACGGAGAAAGCCGCAAGAATTTTTCTTTGATGTACCTGGTTAGTAATTCAACTCAAATATGGGTCAGTTTTCAGCGTAATTGTTTGTTTAAAATATTATCTACATCTCTTTGCAGCTGAGGAGGATCCTGAAGTACATCTTGGGCAGCTTAAGCGGTTTTCTTTGCGAGAATTACAAGTTGCAACAGATAGTTTTAGCAACAAAACATTCTGGGGAGAGGTGGGTTTGGTAAGGTCTATAAAGGGCGACTAGCAGATGGTTCACTGGTCGCTGTGAAAAGACTGAAAGAAGAGCGCACCCCTGGTGGGGAGTTGCAGTTTCAAACAGAAGTAGAGATGATCAGCATGGCCGTGCATCGAAATCTTCTTCGGTTACGTGGGTTCTGTATGACACCAACTGAGCGTTTACTTGTTTATCCTTATATGGCTAATGGCAGTGTTGCCTCATGTTTAAGAGGTAGAGCTTCAGCACATTTTGATACACTTTTAGGATGATACTTTATTGCTTCAGAAGCTTACTTTATCTCATTCAATTTGTGCTTTCAAGGTCTAACCCTGTTTGCTATTTCCTTATAGCTTCCTTAGTGTACATTTCTTCCATGATATGTTCAACTTCGCAAATTTACAAAAGGAATGAATTTTCTGTGTCCAGTCCTTTATTCATGCCTGAATTTATGCTTTTTTCTAGAACGCCCCCCCATCCCAACCACCTCTTGATTGGCCAACTCGGAAGCGAATTGCATTGGGATCTGCAAGGGGTCTTTCTTATTTGCACGATCATTGTGACCCGAAGATTATCCACCGTGATGTGAAAGCTGCAAACATTTTGCTGGATGAGGAGTTTGAGGCTGTGGTTGGAGACTTTGGGTTGGCTAAACTTATGGACTACAAAGACACCCATGTCACTACTGCCGTACGTGGCACAATTGGACATATAGCTCCAGAGTACCTGTCTACTGGGAAGTCTTCTGAGAAAACTGATGTTTTCGGTTACGGCATCATGCTTCTGGAGCTTATTACTGGTCAGAGGGCTTTTGATCTTGCTCGGCTTGCCAATGATGATGATGTGATGTTGCTTGATTGGGTATGCATCTGTTCCATTATTATTCATGTTCGTGGATTTGTTTTACTTCTATCATTATTTTTTATTAGTTAATGCCACCAGTGAACAATCTCTTGGACTCTAGCTATGAAGTCGCATTGTACCTTTTTACTCTCTATGTTGTATCCCTGAAGTAATCCCTAGAAACCAATAGCTCTTTCTTTATTTTGATATCCAACCTTAGAATGAAGGTCAGGGTTATTGAGAGTATCAACCTTCTGAGGTAGGGTAGGAATGCTCATCAACTTTGCTTCTGTATACCAACAAAATATAGATGTTGAGACAACACAAATGTGAATTACTAGGTGAAGATTCTGTTTGGATTTTTTTTTACTTACTGGGTAGGTTCCTCTTCCCCCCTCCCTCGAAATCACCTTTTTACATGTATATATATTTTACGTTCCTGGACCTGAAGCTTTGCTAGGGCAAAAAAATTGTTTATTCGTCTTGTCCTCATTATATATTTGGATGAAGTCAAGAAACTCTTGAGAACTGCAGTTTGGATTGTTTTCCTCGTATTTTTTATATGAGTGTGTGTGTGTGTGTAAACATACATGACGTCAATAAATGGGATCAAAGTTGAATAAAATAGAGTACAAGTGAGGTTTTCTCAGCACATCTTATCTTAAAGATGGGACATCTTGTATAGAGAATCTCTGATATTTGGTTGCTGCTGTGATATTTGGTTGTTTTTTCCCCTATGTAGATACTTGCCTTGTTTAACTCCCGTCTTTAGATTTAAGGGAGCAATTATCAATAATCTATTGCCTGGGGTTTCTCTGGATTGTTAGGAAACTGAGATGTGTAATGTCTACAAGATCTCATACAGCTGAGTGCTTTTCCAGGTTAAAGGACTACTCAAAGAGAAAAAGCTAGAAATGCTGGTTGATCCTGATCTCCAGAACAATTATGTAGAAGCTGAGGTAGAGCAGCTAATTCAAGTTGCACTGCTCTGCACACAAGGTTCTCCAATGGACCGGCCTAAGATGTCAGAAGTGGTGAGAATGCTTGAAGGTGATGGCTTAGCAGAGCGATGGGATGAGTGGCAAAAGGTCGAAGTACTCCGCCAGGAAGTGGAGTTAGCTCCTCACCCAAATTCCGATTGGATTGTTGACTCAACAGAAAATTTGCATGCAGTTGAATTATCTGGTCCAAGGTGACCTTGGCATGGTAGAAGTGAGAAAAGAAAGGGGGGGAATTATTTTCAACTTAATTTTTTAACTATATATATTTTTTGTTTAATGACCATATCCTGATTAATGTATCTTGTAAGTCCATTCTGCATTTTATTCGTTACACTTGTGCATATGAGAGTTGCTTTACTAAGGTGCAATTTGTATCATCTGCGGCAGTTTGACAAAGCCATAATTTTATATATAAGAAGCTGTGGCAGTTTTAGTCTTTTATGCTCTGCATGTATATGCTAGGTCAATTTTTTTGGCCTCGTCTGTTTATTCATGGGAGGCCTCATCCTTGAATGAAATCAAATCCTGCAGTTAGAGATTAGTTTCCTAGTTTGCTCATTCATGTAGGCAAGTTAAATTTTCACCCCAAGTTTCATCTTGAGGTCTACTAGAGGTTATGCTATTGAAATTTCAATTGAATGAACTTGCAGGCAGAAGGAATTACCCAGAGAATGTGATTTATGGAATGAATTTGTGAGAGCATTTTCAGTATAGCCTACCTTTCTTAGGGGGGAGGTTTTATTAATATATGGGGTTATTTTTTTTAAAATAAAATTATGTATTCAATTTGGACTTTCAAAATTCCGGGGTATTTAGTCAGGATCTTTATAAAAGTACGGGTGTATTCAATTCAGACTTTTATGGACTTCTATAAAATCATACAAACGATGACAACGCTTCTGGTGGTAGCATGTACTGTTGTTGGTGCTACTGGCGGTAGTGGCTTTCTGCAGTTCTACTGGCTGAGTGGCCGTAGCGTGTGGTTGATTATTGGTGGGGAACCAGTAATCATGGGAGAGTCAAGGAACTGATGTGGTGATAAAGATTGGCCTTAAAATTGTTTGTTTTCCTTTGAAAAATCTTCATATCCTTCAAAACAATGTGAAAAAAATTTTCAATTTTTTTTTTCTTTTTCCCGTGAGGATTTGAATTTATGACCTCTTATATTATTGGAAAAAGAAATACCATTGGATTAAGAACTAAGCGCTAATTGCTATCTTAATCACAAACTAATGTTGACTCAATTGTCCCTAGTTCAACATGTTTTCATCTTAATAGTAAATTAGTTATATGTTGTCGGGGCAAATTTTGGGTTCTTGATTTCAACATTAGATTCCACTCTGTCGACCCTTCCATGTTGGTAGATTTTGTGTTCATTTTGGTGCATTGGCGGGCCCCATTTTGGTGGAGTTGTTGTTTTTCGTGTGGATGTTTTTGTGCTTCTGTTTTTTATGTTTGGTGAAGATTTATTGGTTTTTGTGGCAGGTCTGTGGGTATTGGCCTTGTTGTAGTGTGTTTTTTATGTGGTGGCAGGTTCTCCTTCTCAACTTTGGCTAAGTGGTGTGCCGCTCCTGTATTTCTGGAGGCAGTGGCGGATTCAAAAATTTCGCTCCAAGGGTCAACGTGTAAAAGGTTATAAATAAAAAATATATATACAAAATAGGCCCATTGAAATAAAACGATAATACTCTAATTTATAGTCAATAGATAAAACCATACAAAATACTTATGTTCATTATCAAAGATAACTGCATCAATTTCAAAAAATAGACACACATTGCAATACACTAGAAATATCTGCAAAAATGTGATAATAAACCAAAAAATTAGTGCAATCCTCTTCACCTCCCAAGGCGTCTCGTCTTATTCGACATAAGAACTAGCATATCTTAGCGCAATCCTTATCATTTTAGGGCTTTTACGTTATTTTTTAGGTCTGTCGTAGTTTTGATTTGGGGCTTTATCTGCATTTCTTTTGGGTTCTAGCTCTCAAACTTTGGACCCTTATAAGTACTGTCTTAGGGGGAGCTTATTCAAGCAAATATTTCTTCAATACGTAAGAGTTAGGTTATTCTTGTAAAACTCTTTGTGGATTGAACACTTAAGGCTTTACTTAGATTGACTTTAGGTCCCTTCATGCATTCATATCATATATGAAAAATTGTTTTAAGTAAAAATATTGGGCAAGTATGAAAAATGATTTTTCAGAATAATCATTTTCTCAAGATAATTTTTGGCGGCTTTTATTCCTTACACATCAAATAAGAAAACTTGATTTTATGAGATTTTATTATAAAGTATATATTGACTTAATGAGCCATCATTTTTAGCCTAAATCGTATTTTGCACTAAAATCGATTTTTCATATTTTGATTTAGTGGGAATTTGATTTTCTAGTATTTTTATTTGAATCCAAATTGGGGGCACTTCCTTATTTACATTGTAAAGTTAAGTAAATGGAGTAATATAAAAATAAATGAAAGTAAGGTAATCTGCCTGTTGTGCTTGTTTGTTGCGCCCTCTGGAGCATTTCATCAAGCAGTTTATGGGAAATTTGCAAGGGTCAACATCTTCGCCTCCAATGGTGGATTTTAGGCTTGCATGGGTTAATTGACCCCTCTTGCCCTTATGTGGATCCGCCCCTGCCTGGAGGCATTAACGACTATGGTGCTTTTGTGTTAGGCTTTGGTTGGGACTTATGTCTCTCGGGAGCTCTGTCTGGATTAGGCTTTACCAAAACAGAATTATGCATGGATCTCTCATTTTATTATACGATCATTTTTGTTTTAACTTTGCATACCTCTAAATATAAAAATAAAATAAATGACGACATTCCTTCAATTCTACACGACTCTTAGCGCTCGTTTGTTATACTCGTTTTAGCATGGACTGTGCTTAGGGACTGTCTTGACTTCGCTTGGCTTGGTCTAAGTTGGATAACACTTATCCTGTGTTTGCTATATGCTTGGACTAGGACTATATTTCTTTTATTTTTTTCAAAACTATCTATATATATGTATATATGTATAAATACATATAGATATGTATGTGTATATATGTACTTTATAATATGTATGTATATATACATATACAGAGAGCTTCTATTGAGGGATCCCTCAAATAAGCTTATTTGAAGGACACCCCTTGTAGGGCCCACTCCGGATTGTATTTCACTAATCCATACCGTCTATTTTGTAGATACTCATTCGAAGATCATCTCTACAAAAAATCACTTGAATCCGATATCATTTGACCATTCAATTGAATTATTGAAATTTTAGTACTTTCTTGAAGCGCCGTGTTCATTGATTTTGTAGGACACAATTGGATGTCGAAACGGTTTCCGATTTGTCTAATTTTTTGTAAGGATGATCTATGAATGAATACCTGAAAAATAGATGGTTTGGATCATTGGAAAAAAAATTGTAGGGTACCCTAAAAGGCGTCCCTCAAATAAAATTATTTGAGGGATCCCTCAATAGAAGGGGACTGTATACATACATATAATATATATGACATATATGTGTATGTACATGTATATATGTATATTATAATAATATTATATATGTATATATATATATGTGTGTGTGTGTGGGTGTATATATGTATATTATAATATAATATATATATATACATATATTATACTTATATAACATATATGTGTATATATGCATGTATATGTATATTATAATACATACATGAGTATAATGTATATACACATATATGTATATATATGTATGTATGTATTATAATATAATATAATATATATTACATATATACATGTATGCTATTATTATAATATTAATATGTATATGTGTATATGGGTATATTATAATAATAATATATATGTATGTATATATATACATATATACATGTGTGTGTATACGTGTATATATGTACATTATAGTATATGTGTATGTAAGTATAGTATAATAATAATAATAATAATAATAATAATAATAATAATAATAATAATAATAATAATAATAATATATGTTATGAGTATTATAATATTATATATGTATTTTATACATTGGTGAGCATGGGATAGTTAATCCTCCCTTTCCATGGGGTTTAGTAGTCCCCTCTTAAGGAGGTGTTTTTGGTGGGCCCGGTATTAGCAATTCCATCTAAGACTAGGATTAGATGAAACCAATATGGTACTAAATTTAGTCCAAGTTAGGTCAAGCCAAGCCTGTGTAACAAACGACCGCTTAATAATTTGAGGGTTCTTCAAATAAATTTATTTTAGGGACACTATTTGGAGCCCATTAAGAATTTTATTTCAAGAATCCGAAGAGTCTATTTTTCTAATATTCATTCATAGATCATAATTGTAAAAATAATATAAATAATATAAAATAATAAATAAATAAATAAAGACAAATCAGAAACTGTTAATACATCCAATTATACTCTACAAAATCGTATTAACAGTTTTGAAGGAAAATTGAAATACAATACGGAATGGGTCCTACATGGGTGTCCCTCAATTAAGCTTATTTGAGGGATCACCCAACTAAATAAGCTCTCCGATATATTAATCTGCAAGTATTTGAGGCATTGAGCTTGCTAAGAGCCACTTAATGACAAAATGGAAGCATTTGAAGTAACATTCTCAAATGAAACATGAGATAAAACTCCAGAAGAAAAGAAGACGTGGTTTTTGTGTCCCTCAAGCATCTGCTCGAGCGATATTCGCACAGGCCTCTGTAAAATATGAATTCAGAACATCAATATGCACATAAGAAGGTAAATAACGAAAATATTTTATAAGGAAAAACAAGAAAGGTATCCATAAGAGAAGATATACACATAGAAAGGGAAAGATTTATTTATTTATTTTTTTAAACAAGGGGAAAGAGTTAAGTCTGGAAACTAAAACAACAATAAGTAAAGTCCATTGACAATGAATCACGAAGAGTTCAAACTCTCAATATGATCTTGCGGAGAGATGGCGCTTACTTTTTCCCTTTGTCAGCATTCCAAAATCTATAATTTTAGTGAAAAACTATAACTTGCTTTCCAAGTATGCATAAACTTAATAACTCAACAAAAAGAGGTATGTGTTTGAGGTTCGCTTTCAACTAAAGAAGGGAAAAGAAAAGACTAGAAACTAGTATTTTATTATGTTTGGTTATATGAAAAAAAGGGAAAATAAAGAACGCATTTCATCGTAATCCTTAAAATTAACCCCACGCTTTTTATTTTACAAGCGTATTAAATACCCTACCATGATGATTTTATAACACCCGTAGTCTTTTTAAAAATCTCAACGGTTCCGTCTATAAAATCTGGGGGTGCTTCTTCCCTTGTAATAATCTGAATAAATTTAAATTTATCTTCAAAATACAGAAACCCTAAATCACTCTCACAAAATCAAAAGAAATAGGGCGGCAAGCAACCGCTGGAATTGTTTCCTGGTCGAAGTTGGATTTCAAGCTTTGGATTGGGTTTAGATTTTCAAGAGCCTATTTGGATTGGGTATCCGTAAATATTTACTAATACTTCTCCTTGTACCCGTCGGATTAGGACTACGTAGGCTATATATATGCATTACCAAAATCCCATTTTCGACATTCTTGGTCTCTCTCGTCTTTTCCCATAGCATTTATAATCTCTAGTTACCATGTCCATCGTTAGGTACTTTGACACCCTCGTTTGGCAAAGAACAAAACCTGACATCAACCAATCCCATCTTCCACCTGACGTTCTTCAGATCGTATTCAAACTCTACAAGTCAACCATAAGAGCTTGGTGCCCTCAAGAAGATGATCATGATGTTCCAATAGTGGTTCCATATTCACGAAGAAACCTCGTACTTATAACTCAAGAAACCATCAAGGTCCCTCGTACCATGCTAAAATCTTCTAGTACTACATCCCTCGTGGTTGACATTCTCTCCAGCATGCTTGTCCCCGAGCATGAACATCCAGCTCTTATCGAAAACATATTTCGTGTGCTTGTCGAAAAATATTCATCGGACAAGACCAACACCATGCTCCCCATTGTCGTGGGCATAAATGATGCGACTTTGCGCATAATCACTATCGGCGACGACGGTCAAACAAGCAACGAGGTTCTTGATAGGGTTACGATGGAATCCACTCAAACATATGAGCCCAAGCCTATCCCTGCAGATAAATCGATCATTGAGCAATTGGAGAAGCTGAGGCTTGATGGCTTGGAAGAAAATACCAGACAGATGGCGTGCACCATTTGCATGGAGGACTTTGAGGGTGGTGCTGAAGTTACTCGCTTGCCTTGCTTGCATCTTTACCATGGAGATTGTATTGTTCAGTGGTTGGAGACGAGTCACTTGTGTCCTTTGTGTCGATATCCAATGCCTCCTGCTCATTGATTTTTGAGTTTAGTTGCTAGATATTATATCATGTTGTAATGGAAGATTAAGCAAATAAAGGATCTGATAATCAATGAGCAATGAGATACTTTTTTGGATAACTCTTAATAGTTATCTTGAATTTTGATCAGCCTTTTGGTTGGGCTCAAAGTTCTTTTTTTTTTTAAAAAAATCTCCTGGTTAAGGTTTTTTGTCCTGGTTAAGTTTTCTTGTTCGATAAGAAATTATTTGACCTAGGATAACTCTAGTTTTAGTTATTTATTGTAATTAGAAGATTAATCATCAGTCTCGAGTGAGTCGAACTTAAAACAATAAAACTCTACTCTTCGAATATGGGTGAAATTGTGTTGGGAGATTTTTCCTTACAATTTTCCCTCAACAATCCTGTCAGTTGCATCCATGCCCTGGCTTTGGCTAAGCTCAAAAGATTTAACAAGGTTGTAATGGAAACTGATAACTTGTGTGAGGGTGTTAAAGTTTGTTTGGGAAATAGAATATGGATCATTTACCCTCTTGCGGAGACAAGGCATAATGTGAATCACCTCGCTCATGTGGCGGCCGCGATTGGTGCTCGAGCGGTGGAACTGGAAAGCCTCCGTCTTTGGTTCACGTCCTGAATTCCGATGGGCTCCCTTGCCCCCTAGTTTGTAACTTTTTATGTTCTAGTTTTGGAAGTGTAACTGTCTCAACTTCTTGTGCTGAGCTTAGCTTTCCTTCCTATTTGGTTGGAGGTTGCTTTTGATTAGACAAATTGTTCATTTTGCATAGAGCCCCTAAGAGAGCTCAAAACCAAGGTTATCCTTGCTTGGAAATGAATGTTCAAGCTTTGCCCTTTGTCATGGACGACCTGCCTCCTATTTAAAGAGATTTCCACCATGGATAGTGAAACCTCCAGAATCTCATCTTCTTTTAGTTGCAAAATTAGGTTAAAACAAAATAGAGAAGGTTGAACACAACCCAAGTTCGAATTGACCCTGATTAAATAGGTTTGGTTGGTCACATCCCGTACGTGTAGAACTCACATATCCAATAATATCACATCACGTGAATTAAATTAAACATACTTATAAAAAAAAACAATTACTTAAAGAAAATATAAACATTCATTAAGCATAAAAAAAAATATGAACATTCAAAATTGCCTCCATCATTTGTAATTCCAAAACCACAAAGAGGAGTAAAATTTCCCCAACAAGAAAACATACATTATATATTCAACCATGGTTTTACACATTACACCATACCAAAAAAAAATAATCAAAAAAAAATAAGAAGAAATCAAAAGGGCAAAATGTGCAGTTATAAATTGAGCTTAATATCACCCAAATCGAGCTCCGCAGCAATCTCCTCAAGCTGCTTCTTCACGCTCAAATCGATAAGCTTCGACCCAGAGTTGCCATATCTCACAGTGAACCCAGCCACCAAGCTTGGATCAATCTCCGTCTTGATCCTCACGTTCTTCGCCCCGGTCAGCTTCTGCACCTGCTTCGCTATCTGCGCCAGGTGCTGCGACTCCAGCTTCACCACCGAGGTCACGATGGCCAGCTCCGTGTCCGTGATTTTGTTGTAAACCACCTCGAACTCCTTTATGATGTCCTTTATGAGGTCGATTCGCTTGGCGTCGACGAGGATGTTGAGGAAATTTACGGTGTGGGGCTGGAGGGTAGAGGACTTGGCGATTTCGTCGAGGACCTTGCGCTTCTTGTCGAGGTCGATGGTGGGGTTGATGAAGAAGTCGAAGACTGACGGCTCGCCGAAGAACTTCTCGATCTTCTCCACGTCGCCGGCGGTGGTTTCGAGGGTGTTGTTGGATTTGGCGACGTCTGCCAACGCCGTGGCGTAGCTGGCGGCCGCGGAGGCGTTCATTCTGGCGCCGAGGGCTCCGCCACCGTTACGGCGGAGGGTGACGACGGCTGCGGCGGAGGAGGAGAGCTTGAGGGGGATGGGGGTGAAGGTGGAGGAGAAGGAGAAGGAGAGGGTGGAGGTTCTGGCGGTGAGGGTGGAGGAGAGTTGTGGTGGGGATGATGGGGTTTGGGATTGGAGAGAGATTGGGGTGTGTTGGAGGGCGGCCATTGGTCAATTGGGTGGCTCTCTTTCTCACTCTCACTCTTCGTTTGATGATGGGAGAAGAGAGTTTGTGGAACTGAAAGGAAGTGGTTGTTTGGAGGTTTTGGGGATTGATTGATATGGAGGAGGAAGGGGTTGACGGTTGGGATGGTGAAGGAGGGAAGAGGGGTGGACGGTGAGGATTTGATGGGTTTTTATCCTAGTTTGAGTGGTAGTAGCCACTGATATCTTAAGGAGATAATGGATTTGACGCGTGGATGGGTTTCATAGGATAAGGTATATTTTTTATATTTTATAGAAGAAAGTCTTCCTTCACCATTTGTAAATTAGTGGCGGTGGTGATACTTAATGTATTCCATGGATTGTGGCATGAGAAAAAACGAAACTCGAAGCTATGAAACTCGAAGAAATGCCTGAAAAAAATATTTATTTTCCAGCAGCAAAGTGATTGGTACATTGCCATCCATCCCAAATGCTCACCAACATTACACACGACGAACTTCCCAACAACAGAAGCAAAAGCACAAACTCAGCCATTGAACTTACATATCAAGTGTACACTATACAAATAACCGAAGACACCATATAACACAAGTTCTATGTTCTACGATAGTATAAACATATCCACTTTACCAGCAATGGGAAAATAAAATTGAGTAGAGGCGTCATAGGATAAATATTCCAACTCAGCGTCCATGCGAAGGAAAAGAGTCATCTGTAGAAGACTGAGCGCCGGATCCGGCATTTGAGTTTTGTGATGTAAATAAGTTTGGGTATGAGAAGTATGGATCATCTTCCATTGAACTCAATCTCTGAGGCTGATGTCGAACAGGCTCATGTTCAAAAGCATGATCATTGGGAAGTGAGGAATCCAAATCCGCATTAAGTGGCTCCATAGTGACAGAATTAAGATCTGATACCTTAGCTCCATGGCCATATTCATGGACTTGATGCAGTCCCGGAGAATGTATAACACCATCAGAATCACCATTGCGGATAGCATGATCAAAATCTGGTTTTTCTCTAGTATCTGACTCGCTAGGAATGTCTTCGTGAAATGGGTTTTCACAGCTATTTTCAGGGACTTCTTCACTGTTTTTCTTGGTAAGCTCGTTGATTCTAACTTGTGCAAGACTAGCTGCTGAGCGTGCTGCTGCTGCTGCACGTTCTGCAGAGTCTGCAGCAGCCTGAGCAGCAGCTAACACATCCTGAAAATCCACATTGGCGTCACTTCTTGTTCTTGAAAGAGAGGGTGGTGGATTGCTTCGTCTTGTAGAAAATGATGCAGACGAAAGTGATGGGGGAGAAATAAATGGCAAGAACTGTTTATCTTCCACACCACCAACTGAAACATGAGACTGTTCGTGTTTGTGAGCCACTGATCTTGCTTGCATCACTTCTTCAGACTCAAAGGATAGCTCTTCAGACGGATTTTCAATGGCCCCAGAATCTTTTGACAATCCATGATCAACTTCAGGGTGTGGCGGAGTTGGTAAAGGTGGAGGCATTGCAGGTGCTGAGGCTGGATTCGCAATTGGTCGTAGTGATACCGTAGGCACTTCAGGAAAGTCTAATGAGTCCAAACCATCATCAGAATCAGACTGTTCTTTCTGAGATTGATCCGGGTTGCAGTGCGATGGTTCGTCATGTTTTTCTTTGGGGAGGGGCAGTTTAGACCCACTGACAAACTGTGTTGGACCATTCTGACAAAGAGAGGACAGATTTATAGCAGACAGGTGAAAAAGGAAAAAGGAAAAGGGGAAAAGGACAAAAGAAAATGAGTCCGAGTATTATGTTTACCAATAAATCTTCATGTGGTTTGAAAATTTCAGCTTCAGATGCAGCAGGATCCCAATCCAGCTCATGCTCTTCGGCAATTTCTTTCAGTAGCTTCAGTTTTTTCTCAGGCGAAGGAGCACGAACAGATAGCAGTTCTATCAACTGCAGTTAAAATCCAGAGTCACAAACACAAAGTAGGAACCTAAATAGCTTGAATAATAGCGTTACAATTCTAGTGCACTAAAAGATGAATATCATGGGGGGAAAAGGATTGCACTACAAAAAGAAAGTTCATAAAACCTGGCGATTGACACCACAATCTGGAATTAGTTCTGTTGCAGCTGATACAAATTCTTTCCCATATTTTGAAGCAAATAGCATTTGAACTTGTAGCAACTCAGACAGATCAGCACATCTTGGTGCAGCAAAACACACACTGGATATTGCTTCTTTTAAGTCTAGAGGACATTCCCTGTATCAAAAAATTTAGATTTTAAGTTTTTAAGGACTGGGTGAATTTTAACCTATACGTAACTACAAAACTTAGCATACTAACTTTTTGTGTCAAAATTTCAAGAAACTTAAATGCCAACTAAGTAAATCAAATAGCAGACTTAGAAATATGACGACATTTAATTTTACAAAAACAAAGGTTGAGTGGAAAGATGAGAAATCCAACCACATGACTAACAAAGATAATAAACTAACAAAGATGATAAGCTAAGTGATGCAAGAGGTACAAAGCATTTCACAAGCTACCACATAAAGTAATTTGGCGGCTTATGCGGCAGTGCCATGTGAGTTAATGAAATTTCCCCATGATACATGAGGATAATGGCAGTACAAATACGTGGCATGCCATCTCCGTTGCCACACCCACAACGGTTTGTAAAAGCATGATCCATTAAGGATAGAGTAAAGTGAAACCCATAAAAAGTTCCTAAAACTGATACTACTGTACTCCCTATTGCAGAACCACCAGACTCAACAACTGGGTGGAGAACAGAGACCATGCTCCCCACTAGCATTTAATGGGTTCTGTGACTCAATTGCAATTTTCCTATGACAAGCTCTAGTTCGTTTCAAGTATCATTAGAAAGTGGTATTAGATTTTTTAATTGCAAGAATTTGGAAGCGAAGTACAAACCTAATACAACTGTCCAACTTAGCTGAAGTGCTAATGTTCCAGAAGAAGATACACCAATCACAAGTTCTCAACCTTTCTTTTTTCCTTTGTTTTCTCTCCCGAAACATTTCAGTAACCAAATTAACTATGTCTGAAACTAGAAAGCAGGAACATCCTAAAAGACAGAAAGTGCAGTAGTAAAACTAGAAAGCACGTATTCTATTGAATTGCAAAAGTGGGCCTTTCTCTTTCATGAATATCTATTTCACAGGGCTCCAAACAAGTCAACTAAATGATTGATTCCTAAATGTTTCAGTCCCTCCTTTAACAGCTGAAGCATCTCATATCTATTTTAATATAAACTGCAGTAGTCTTATTTCTCCACCATTGGAAAAAATAGACTGGTGTACAAGCTTAGCCAATTACTAAAATGTTAAGTGTTACACCGGAAATTTCAAGCTTTGCAGATCAAGCCACAGAATGTCTGATTAAGTAAAAAAGGAATGAAGTCTTGCTTTAACAAAAATGTTCTGACTTGTATTCTAAGTCTCACGTCCTTGTATGTAAGAATGTATATATGCCAATCACTTGTTATATTTCTAGTCTCTTTTTCTTATCTATTATTTTCAGTTAATCATTTTTTCTCTGCATCCATGGATGTCATTGTCCCAAAACTATGTGTGTGTTTGTGAATGTGCACTTTTGTCTTGGTCTAAAGAGGAGTGTCCCGAGAAGATTGAAGTGTTTTTGGTGTTTCTGTGAAGAAAAACCAGTCACATCAATCTATTGCAAAGTTGCAAACAACAACTAACAGAAGTTTAGTTGGTCATGGAAAGAAAACTGGTAACCTTTCATTTTGATTAATAGAGAGTTATTCTTTATTATATAAACAATGGTCTTCTCTTTCCATTCCACCCTCTCCCCACAAGGAAAAGGAACAAGGAGTACACATGGACTAAGGATTATCAGAATAATTAATATTTTCAACAGTTCATATCAACTTGAGATATTTGTCTTCAATCACATTTCAGCAATGCATTTCATTTTTTTTCTTTCCTAAATCATAATCTGTTCATGATTTCAGAAATACATGCATGCTACTAAATCCATGAAATCCATCCTAGAACACCCCAGAGTTTTCACCTCACTAGTTTAGAAGAATTACAACGAATCAATTGCTTTTTAAAAAATACGAGTCTGCGAAGTAATGCATACATGAAGAAAAAATAATATTCTTTCTTTTAACAAAGAACAAACAGTTGTTCTTTCACCATACCAGGATATGCATGAAGGTTTACAAAATTTTCCATATGTAGCCATTAAAAAAGATAGCAGGAATTGCTGCATGCATTATAACCCATGAACCGCAGATCATCTTAGTTTTTTTCTGTCTATGAAATATTTATCAGTACTGAAAACGTTGCAGTTGCAGAGAAAATTTGAGATATTACATAATTTTAGCTTAGGATTCTGACAAATCAAAACTAAAAATTGCATGCCAGATTATTCGAACAACAGAAGCATGGTACAAGAAAATCACCAGTTTAGAGATTAACCTTTGTGATTCAATAATTGGAAGGCGGACAGCAATAAGCTCACAAAATAGCTCAAGAATCTCGTGAGCTGCCATCATATTCTCTTCTCTAATAATATGCTCTACCTGAAATGTAAATATCAATAACACCATTATGAAATGATCATGAGAAAAATTCTCAGTAAAATTTTTCTTGATACTTTCTAATTAAATTAACTAGTTCATACTTTGTGATAGAAAAATTGAATAGTAAAAACATAAGTGGAAAAGAGAAGTATTACCCGAATCCTAGCAGTAGCCTCTTGGCCAGTCTCAAGAAGCTTGGCAATGTCACGGCGCATCTGTTTAATCTGAATTTCTCTCCTGTTCCTCAACAACTTTATCCGCGGAATAGTCAATTTCAGCAGGGTTTTGCTGCACACAAAAAGCACAAACTTACATGAAATCACCTGAAACCAAACTAAAAACAAATTTGCATTGCACATCAACAGAACACAAATAATTCAAAACCCATGTCCTCAAAATATTCAGTTGGCCCTAAATTTGTTATAATCTGATTATTTCATTTCTTGCAATGTTAAGATTAACTCAACTAAGTTAGGTTTCTGCACTTATTCGCAACATTTACTACTTCCCCAACAGCCAAACATCAATAGAAACTCGATCAAAGTTTTCGATCTCATAAAACTCACAAACCCAGAAAAGACCCAGAAAGTAAAAAAACAAAATGGGAAACGGAAACACAACTGAGAGATCAGAGGAGCAAATAACAGTTGGGGTGATCAATGATGGTACCATTTGGCCGCTTTGAAGCCCTTGTTGAAGAACGAATCGAGCATCGACATGGCTGACGACGAAAATCGAAATCCCTAATTCCAAACAAAGTCAAAGATTTGCTTTTTCTTTTTGGTAGCTCTTATAAGTGTCACAAAGATTCAATCTTGGTGATGTTGCAGAAACAGAGAAGGAGATGGATGATGGCGAGAGAGACTACCTGCTACGTAAAAGAAAGAAACACAAGGTTTTGGCTACGCACAAAACGCGTCGTTTTACAAGTTTGCTTAGTGGACAAGGAGGCTCTGCGTAGCTCTATGTTTGCGCGGGCGGTCTGTGTGCTTATATTTTATTGCTGTGGGGCCAAACACTGAGGCTGAGGGGCTCCTTCTCCTTCCTGATGTTGTTGCTTTCTACCTTCAACGATTCACAATATTTGCTAAATGTTTTTTTTTAATCAAACTAATAGATAATAAATTTATAATTTATATCTTTTTTTTTTAATACAAGTAATATTAGAGGAGGAAAGTTTTCTTATACGCTATCAAGATGCCATAGGGTTCAAATATAAGACCACTAATCGGCAAGTCAAAGGTCATTTTCCACTGGAGCTAGATCCATTGGTTTATAATTTATATCTTAAGAGCAAGAACGGCATCCGCCAACCGAACAAGTAAGGGATTCCTCGCCCGGTGTGCCGGCTTGGCTCCATCTTTGGCTTCTTGATTGGCTATTGCCAGAGAAGATATATATGTTATACCAACAGATGGAGTAGACATGGCAAGATACAACATACTAAAGAATGAGCCAAAATCAAACAAGCAAGGCCAAAGCCAAATGCCGACCTAAGATGGGATGCTTGCGGGAGACTTTCGAGTTTCCCGACAGGTCGATGTACAACCGAAAGGTGAATGCTTTACCAAACTCGTGTACAACTCCTTTCCTGTGTATTGATTTCCGCTTATTACATGCTTAGTTTCCTAAATTCTTTCACAACAGCACCCCTTGACCAAGGAAACAAAAAACCAAAAAGCCAAGATCTCTATAAAGCGAGGGAAAGAATACATATGTACAGTAGAGAAGGAAGAAAGACGAATGCTATGAGAGCTTAGACGAAATATGTAACATCCCACATTGACCAACGGAGAGGGGGTGATATATCTTATATGTACATGCTCATCTTCATCTAGCACGAGGCCTTTTAGGAGCTCACTGGCTTTAGAGTCATTAGGAACTCCGAAGTTAAGCGAGTTTGGGCTAGAGCAATCACATGATGAGTGACCCACTAGGAAGTTGCTTGTGAGTTCCTAGAAACAAAACTGTGAGGGTAGGGCGCCCAAAGCGAACAATATCGTGCTACGGTGGAGCCGATCCAGGATATAACAGAATGGTATCATAACCACTCTGCCCTGTGGTGCAGGTGTGCCAACGAGGACGTCAGGCCCCTAAGGAAGGTGGATTGTAACATCTCACATTGACCAATAGAGAGGGGGTGATGTGCCTTATATATACATGCCCACCTATATTTAGCACGAGGCCTTTTGAGAGTTCACTAACTTCGGAGTCATGGGAACTCCGAAGCTAAGCGAGTTTGGGCTAAAGCAATCTCAGGATGGGTGACCCACTGGAAATTTGCTCGTGAGTTCCTAGAAAAAAAAATTAGTGAAGGCAAGGGGCCCAAAGTTGACAATATTGTGCTACGACGGAGCCGATTTGGGATGTGACAGAATAAGGTCTAAAGGAGACTGCCCATTTATCACATGGGGGGAGAAGACTAGTCAAACATTCAAGTTGTAAACTCACAATATAGACTTGAAAAAAAGAAAGATATTGAGACAGAATATGAATGAAGGATTGAAGGATTTGACCGTATAATACACCGAAAAATTCAAGGTGGATTTTCATATTTTAGTGAAAAATAATATTATGGTGGAGAATGATTATGGGTATTTTATCAAGTGATTTTGGATTAAGATCATTAAATTAAGTGTGTTTAATTTGAAGTTGAACAAACATGACCAAAATACCCTTATGTGTGAAAGATTACCAAATACCCTTGTTGGCAACAACAACAACAACAACAAAAAAACATGGAGGGCATCAAACCATCCTCCTCCCATTCTTCCCCTCTTGCCTCAAGCTTCCAAATTTGCAATTATGAAAGTGGTGAGTCACCTATTCTAAATTGATGACTCACCTAGCCTAAGATTCCTTAATTAATCATGAATGTATTCTCTTCCTCCCCATTCATTGTATTATCACTCTAAAATTGATGACTCACCTCTAAGAATCTTCAATCATGAAATTATTCTTATCCTCATCATTCATTGTATCATCCCTTTCTTCCTCATTCACATATTTTCATCCTCATTCTTCTTTTGTTCTTCTTCAAAAATTCAAAAATTCAAAAATTCGTCACTTCCTTGGAGCAGCTGAGAACTCAAATTTAGAGAGCTCAAATGAAAAAACTTCCTTCATAAAAGTTGTTCATTTACGTGATTCCTATGACATACGCCATTTTCACCTCAATCCGATTAGTATTGACTCCGAAAACTTGGTATGATCACAGTATGTTTATCATTTTTGGATTTCACAGTAGTACGCTCGGTTTCAGAATATTTCTATGACTTCTTGTACTCAAATGACTTTGGATCCTTCATCAAAGTTGTTCTAAATTCTGTCTACTATAACATATCAAAAATTAAGGTTGATCGGACTTCTATAGCCACCTTGGGAAAGTTTAGAATGGAACTTGTTCTTTGATTATATTGAATTTCTTGTTATAGATATGTACTTTCTCTCAAATGGTTTGTTACTTGTCTTTCAATTGATAAAATTAGCCACTATCATCTCAAGTAAATGATTCTTTGAAGGTATAAAGCTCATTTTTCGTATTGTCTCTTTGTGTACTAGTTGTAAATCAAGTATTGGTTAGATTGCCTCAATGACATATATTTCTTTCAAAGTGCGTTTCTGTGAAGTTCTAGATTATTTCGATGTGATTTTGCCCCAATTTTATTCTGGAATTTTGTTACATCAAAATTGATATCTCAAGGGTTATTTCAAAGTTGGTTTTGTGCCATTTGAATTTAAATTGAGTTTTTTGTGAAATTTCAAAGTAGAGACTATGTTGTTGGAATTATTCTGATTCTACCACATGCCATGTTTTGTATACGTGTTTGAAAAGTTACTGAAGTTGAATTTTCATGAAATTTTAATATGTTTTACTTTCACGTATTTTCTTCAAATCTAGAAAGTTTTATCCATTTTGGTTGTAAATTGAAATTTTGGTGAGTTTTCAAAATAAAGTGTACAAACCTGAAAAAAGAGAACATTTTGCAGCCTAGTTTGTTTTGGTTCTATTTTGACATGCTTCCTAAACCCTAATTTCCATCAAATTTTGACAATTTTAATTTTCCTATGTCTAGTTGTGATTTGAAATTTTTTACATTATTTTGATTTAAACTCAATATTTAGTGAATTTTCAAAGTTAACGTGTTCCAACCTAAATGTTTAGCAAAACTGAAGTTTTTATTTTAAATTGATGTTTTAAATTTTCTTTATGAGTCTAGAGCCGAACCACCTGATTTTAAACATCCCAAAGAGTAGAACAATTATAGCAGGGGAATAGATTGATTTTCCTTGACCCTTGGTTCTAATGCTTGCTTGAACGTGAGGTTAAGGGAGTAATGATCGGTCGAACAACTTGTCAAGTGTTTTTTGGGGCTTTAGGTCTACGTACTTTCGAGGACAAACCTGCACAAGGTTAAGCTAGTTGGACATGAGGTAAGGTTTCCTGATTTTCCGATGATTGGGCTATATCATTTTTAATCTTGGTGATTATATGTAGTACTATAAATATGAATATTATTGTTGCTTTGCTCGGTGAATATTATTTGATGTTATGTGAATATTATTATTGATGTTTCTCCATGGATATTATTTTTTATGTTGGATGAATATAATTATTCATGTGATTAAGCCTAATATATATTATTGTTATTATTTGTATCATTATTCTACAGAGGTAAATGAGGTTTACATTGCATTACATATGCATCATAAAGACAGTGGTGTTTGAGAAGTGTGTGTGTCGTTTGAGGTATCTCTAAGGGGTGGGAGAAGGCTTTAGATATATCTTAGTAAGAACAAAAGTAAAATATATTCAAGTGACGATAGCAGGGCTTGAATATATGAGGTGATGGGAGCAGGGCCTCTAATGAAAAGTGAAAGTTGAGAAATTCGTAAACAAAAGAAAACTGGGTTAAGTGATGGATGGGCGCTAGTTCATATTTTAGGCTATTCATGGTATGGGACATGCAGGCTTGTTGCCCTAAGATATGAATTAGTGGGATTAGAAGTGAGTAAGTTCATGACATCACTGCATATGAAAATTTATTCATCTGGTATGGTTGCAAAAATTTTGTATCTTGTGTTGTTTGATGCATGACACTTTGATTATCTGTGATAGCTGACCTTGAGGGGTTTGATGGTACTCTACTAGGCATTAGAATGCTCATATCCTAATAGATTGTGCGGGATTCAAGACGAAGTTTAAGAAAACAGGTTTCAACTAAGCTACTAGGTTTTTGTTGTCAATTTGTGTAATTAACTTTTGTAAAAAGTCAACCGTTTGATAAAGGTCTTAGTGTGTATTTAACTACGAGCTACTGCGACTCTGATTCTGTGTTGTTAAGTAAATTTGTATTTATTTGTGGCTATTTTTCTCATCATATCATGGTTGTAGGATTTAATTATTATGATTATGGTATGACTCACACCATAATTCGGGAATATTCCTTATTTTCGAATCGGGGCACGACAAACCGGGCTCTAGAGATGAATACCGAAAGAGCTTACCGGATGCACCATCGACCTCAGACAACTCAACTGGGCGAGGAGGGAGATTCTCCAGCTCCACTCCTTGTTATATATATATATATATATATATATATAGTAGAAAATATAGTGGAAAGCTACGCTTCAAAATCAAGCCCAAAAAACGATCCTTTTTAAAGGTCCTATTTTGACCCATTCAAGCCATGAAAGTGACCTTTTGGATTAGAAAACA